GAAATACAAAATCACTACAGTTGGTGGAGGTGGAGCAACCCTGTATGTGGAATTTTATCTGTTTAAAATGCAAAATAAAGTGGGGATGGAATTTTTATTGCTGATTTGAAATGGGACATTTAGCATGTAAAAATGGAAAATGCAACCAAACCCTATTCCTGCCTTTAAATGGGGACGTGGTGGACACTAAAAGGTTAAATTGTTGCCATTGTTAAAGCTGCTCTGCTGTAACGCCAAGTTTAACCAGTAAATGGCAGCAGACTTTAAATATGATTGGTATGGCCCGTCTAGGCGCGGCCAGACCTCAACATAAAGGGTGATCCATCCCCGTCCAACCCCAAGCAGCACGTCACACACTTAATACTTTGTGACAGTGATTTATTAACAATGAGTGCAGTTAAACAAAGGAAGGGAGCATATCATAACTTCAGGGTGAACCCAAGACCAAAACAACAAACAAAAGGTAACCTATCTCAGGAATAAACACAATTTACCTACGCAAAAGAACTAACTCAAACGACAATCACTTTCCTCCCAGCCTAACAAAAACAGGAGAAAACTGATCAAACAAAAAGGCGGTCCACCCCTACATGCTCTTACATTAAGTAACATAGCAACATAGCGACACAGTGAACGGTGAACGGTCTGCCGGTTGGGTTGGGCCGAGGATGAATGACATGGCAATCCCTGGCGGTGTCTTCTTATCCGCTGCCTCCCGGTCCTTAGCCAATCGGTGCAAGCCATCCACCCTGGATGCACCAATCACAGAGGAGCACCTGCACACTCAAATTTACATATGATAATTACGACAACAGTCGTAACAATGATTCATGTGCATTCCTAGTTTCACTGAGAGGTTTAACAGGAGGAACTCTGTGCTGGTTTAGGTGACGTGTTCCTGAAGAGTGTCTAGCATGAGTCACATGTTTATTTATAGTTCATCAAACATTTTTTAAAAAGGCACAGCTTACAAGGATATATATTAAATATACTTCCTACCTTTGCTTCCTGTTAGTAGTAGCAGCATTTTAAATTATGTTGAGGAAGCGATGAAAAGAAATGTTGCTCAGGAGAGGAAGAGGAAGGAGAGATGAGAGCGTTTGAGCAGTGTTGCCAAAGGTCAAGGCCTGAAAGATGAAGCTCTTATAGGTGAGTAGTTTGTGTTTTTGTAAAGGTCTGAAACACTGTTACCACTTATATGTTGAATATTTGTAGTTATACTGTAATATATGTGTAATATATCTAGATGTTGGTCCACTGGAAAACATTTGTTGAATGAGTATTACTATAAATGAGTGAACCTTTTTGGTAAGGTGGTATCCATCCAGTCCGTCTGTGAGGACCTGTGGTTAACGGGCTACTTTCTTTGTCCCATGCTTAAAAACAGCTGTCTTTATGTTACTTTAGCATGGTTGAATCTCTATGGGCTTATGCTAGCCTGGCTGAAGAAAATGCTATGAGTATTAGATTAGATACATGTGGCTGTTCCCCTGACCTTTAACCTTAGTTGTTGTCCATGGTGCTGATCAAAAGCTGGAATGATTCTATTGATATTATTGATCATTTTTTGAGTGACTAAGGAAAATAAGAATAAAAGCTCTTCAGTCTCAAACACAAACACATCCTACACTGCAGCTTTTCTTTTTAGTTCGCAGCTACTGAATGATGTCCCTGCTGTTTTTAGCCCGTGGTTGTGTTTCTTTATGTTCTACTAAAGAGAAGCATGTATCGGTTAGCCACAGTCAAACTGACTCTTGGTGAAACCCACAACCACAAAACAAAAACAGGGTGCTCACTGTTACCCTCTGACTACAGAGGGTAACAGTGAGCAGTGGTGCACATGAGCCATTAGAAGATGGGTCCACTGTGGTTATAAAGGGATGGACATGGTCAGCAACAATACTCAGGTAGACTGTTGGGCCTGCATCCCTAAATGCACTTGATTTCATAATTAAAAAAAAAATCAGATCATAAAAAATTTGCAGGAGGACTCAGTTATTTGTAATAATAAAACAGAAATCATTTCCACATGCACAGTGCAAAGAGAACTCAATGA